TGTAAGCACTCTTTTATCCTTAAATAGAGTTTCGGGTTCAAGCCCCTTTGGGTACAGAGTCACCTTTGTTAAGGAGCGTTTTAGACTTGCCATGTATAACTCATGTATTGTTGATACTACTATGACTTGCCATGTATAGGCCATGTATTGTTAATATTACCGTTACTTGCTAGGCTAAAGATCCTACCAAATAAAATAGGGGTAAGGCACAAGTACCCCCTAGACTATGATTGAAATCTCCTTGAACTCGTTTTTTGTAATTTTGTACACCTTTTTAGCTTACATGGCATTCAAACATTTCTCACGCGCCTTAACTGTGTGGAGTCACGGAGTGTGCCTCGTAAGCCAAAAGGTGTATAAAATTACAAAACAAATGAGTTCAGGGGTAATAAGACCTTAGTTTAGTTAAGGTGTGTCTGGAATTTCGGTCATAGTGTAGGGGATATTTGTGTCTTTTCCCAATAAAATATTAAATAATACTGAATAATCCTACCAAAGAAAGGATTTAATAATACCATGACTAATTCATGTATTATATTCTCTAATACATTCCATCAAACGGAAGGTCGACTGTAGTTACATTAAGCAACATGTATGTATTTAATGTTTGAGTTTGATCCTCATGTTATTTTTCTCTTCAACCTCTAGCCAACTCTACCAAAGGTATAATTGGTGGCAGTAAGGTTGATCGTCTAATTCTTAAGATTTCATCAGCTCAATATTTGCTGTTTTTGATGTTAATTGAAATGAAGAAGTTGCTGTGAATTATTATAGTTTTCTATTATGCTCAATTTCGAAAAGAATTTTCTCACTCACTACATTAACAACGTAAATCTATAGTCTTGTTGCAAAACAAACACCGTGAGATTGATGCTTCAATCATGTATCAAATTTTCTATATGGGTTTTGATTCAAATGGACATAATACATAAATGTGATCTTTAATTTGATCTCAATTAGTATTTATGCCATTCAATTTTGAGTATATATAAGTAGACATTTAAACTTATAAAAAGTGGAATAAGTAAACACATATGTCTCATGTGGTTCTTTATCATGCGATGTCTTATATGATGTCTTACATATATTATGCCACATAAGACATGTGTCTACTTTTATGTGTCTAAATGTGCTAGATTTTACTCCTATCTTGACATGATCACATGAGTTATACTTGAATTTGTACGGTTATCATTTTTGGAGGAAATGATAGCATATTTTTTGTATGACGAATTTATTGGTTCTTAATGTAGAAAAGGGAAAATCAGTCCAAATCTTTCTCGTCATAGTAAAATTTACAGATCAATTAATATGAGACTTTTTATTTTAAAATTAAAATAAAATATTTACGTAACGTAAACACAAGGATACGAGTTACCTGTTACAATCTGAAATCCTAAAAGGGTGAGCTTTGTTTTGTTTTTTCGTTTGGTGTTTGATAGAACGGATTTGCGCTGCATAAAAGTCCCATTTGGGGAAATACTTTTTCTATCAAGAATTCTTTTATATTTGACTTTTAATTAAGAGAAGAGCAATTTTATCCGTGCACCAGTGATTTGGTGAAACGCTGCAACTTTCAAGAAGGATTATGGCCGTGTGATGTGTCTGCTTTATTTTGGTCTATATATTATTCTAAAAAAACTTTAACCTGTTCTATTTTCCATTATTTCAAAGTTGAAAAATAGTTGTTATTCTTAACTATTTTTGTAAGTCTTATTAGATATAAATTACTGATCTAATAATGTTGTTATTATTATTATTATTATTATGCATTTTAAATTGATTAGCAATACACAAACTATAATTCTTCAAAAGTAAAAGCACTTCTAATAAATATATTTTTGATAAGAAGGCCTTCCTCTTAATGAATCCTTTGCGGACGCAATTCAAATCAATCAAATTTCAATACAAATTTTCAGAAACCGAAAAGAAGAAGAGTGAAGTTGATTGATCACATGAGATTAACACATCATGAGTGAACATCATAACTTTATATTATATCCACCATCAATTAAGTTGGCCATATAATATAATAATAATTTGTAAAATTATAAACCAATAATAACCCAACTTGTGTTCAGAAACCAAGTCATATTTCACTGGCATTGGCATCTTTGAATAAGAAAATAACTACTATTAAAATAGCACATGCATTTTACTGAGCATGACAGAATCTTGAACAATAACAGTAGATGAGTTATGTTTTACACCCAAACAGCAAAAAATCAAAGTGAAAAACAAAACAAAGATTCTGTTTCATAATTTTGTCTTGATGCTGCCCAACTAGTTCCTTCAAATATACCCGTGCAGTAGATGAAACGGTTTCTTTCTTAATTAAAAGTTTTAAGTTCGAATATTGGATATAAGAAATTTTTATTAAGGACCGCTTCCTTCTAAATAGGGTCTTACACAACGCGAATTCAGAATAATCGCGCTCCAATGTGAATATCAGACACCAAGGAGTGCTGCAAAATTAAGAAAAAAAAGGTTCATTCAAATATATATAACTTTAATCATAAATGTATTTATTTGTTTGCACTTTCTGTGAAACAAAAGCACGCCACATAAATAAAATGTCATTATGTATTTGCCATATATAAAGTGACCTCGTGAATATTTTTATCACATTTTTGGCATATAAATAATAATTTACTGATGAAAATATATAACATGGTGTCAGTGATTAAACTTATTTTATATGTATCTATCTATATATTGTACGGCTAGCTGTATAAGATTATCATATATCAATGTACCAAAGACAAACTTCAATGATTTATTATTTTATTTCTTTTTTCGAAAAAGAAGAATTCTAACAGATAAAGATTTTAAATTTCAAAAATAAATTACTAATGTGTACCCACAACTTTTGTTGTTATCCCTAGAGACTAGAAGAAGTAGTTTCGTTCGAGTCTCCTTGATTCTCAAAAAATTATTACTCCCGTATTATTTTGTGGCGTAGTTTGACTTGACATGATGTCTTAAAAATAAAGTTTTTAAATTTGTAGTTTAAAATGACTTTTAAAAAATTTATATATATAGTTATAAATTATTTTATTAAGAATTAAAAAAAAATTAAAATTAATTATTTCTAAAAATTGAAACAAACTTAACTAAAATCTTTCAATATTTAGAAGAACCTAACTAGTCCAATTTATAATCCGATTATTATGTCTTGCAGGTAAGCTTTGAGGAAATTGAGGGATCCGATGGTCTGTCATAACTTTCGCCAAGAAAACAATATATCACATGTTTTGTCTAGAACAAATTTCAAGCTAACAACCACATATTTTACTGTATCCTCCTGAAGCTATTAAAAAGTTCTTCAAGGCAAATCAAGAAAGGGTGCTATCTGGTAAGCTAATGATATAATCTAGATGTAATAAAATAGCTTGATTGTGTTGGAATGGTAAGTCCCTTTTCATTCTTAATCAAAATTTTTGGATTTGAATCTTTTTGAGTATGCAGTCGCCTTTGTCACGAAATATTTTTATCCCGATATGTAGCTTTTCGATAAGAATACAAATTTAGTTGTCCTATGTGAAACTTTCAAATGCGAGCTCATACTTAATCGCGCTTCAGTGCAAATGCTATATATCGAAATGAACTATTTTTATCTTAACTCGTATAAATTGAGACAGTAAGAGTAATACTTGCTACTCCCTCCGTCCAATTTTATGTGACACACTTTCATTTTTATATTGTTTCAAAAAGAATGTCATCCTACTATAATTACAAATATTTTAATTTTAAAATTCTCTTTTATCCTTAATGAAATAAATCTCAATCATAGAAATAATCAAGAATTGTTTTAAACCATCAGTTTCATTTTTTTATTTTAAACATCGTATCAAGTCAAAGAATGTCATATAAAATGAGACGGAAGGAATATAAAATATTGGTTAATTTTTGCATGTGTGGGGGTACGTAGTACTGCAAAATCACGATACCCAAAAATGAAAAAGTAGAAGGCTTTTGGGGAGACTGTCCTGTGCTGTGCCTGCCATAAAGAAGCTATAGGCTCCAGCCTACTAGCGGCTACTTAATTAACCTAGCCTTCTCCCATTAAAACTTTTTTTAGTTTATTTTCAAAAAAATTATATCTTTCCTTTTTAATAATATTTTAATTTTCATCTTTCACGTAGTATGTTTAAAACTGTAATATTTAATAAGAAACATGTTTATTAAATAAATATAGTACTCCTTTTGTTTTAATTTTTTTGGTAGTTTAATTTGACAGAACTTTAAAAAGATATTTTGTGGCAAAGAATTATTTCATAAAGGTAAAATGACGTTTTAAAGTTAAATTACTACTTAATACTTCCTCTATTCCATACTAAGTAATTGTTGGACATGTTTTCGTAGTTTTTAAATAAGTGAATTGTTGTTCAATAAAGTTATTGAAAATTTCTTCTGTTTTTGTCCTTCTTTTATATTTTCTATACGATAATTACAAAAGAGTTAATTACTCATATTTATAATTTTACAACTGAATTTCATATTACTACAGAAATATGTCATTTTATTTAGATTTGACCAATATGAAAAGTAAATTTATTAAATTATAATTGAAAAATCTAAAATATGCATTTAACGTAAATTGGAAAAAAAATCATTACTAATTTTAACTTTATTTATCTAAAAAAAATTTGGGAGAAAAAAGCAAATTATAATACCTTATCTAACCAACCAAACAACCCCACTTAAAATAGTGCCAAAAAATAGGGATATCCCAGAAAGTATTTTTGTAGCAAAATTGATTTCTAGATCTAGAAAAACTTGAAAAACAATTACCTAAGACAAATTACTGAAAAAGGATGATAAAAAGCTTCAATTCGTGTTATTCAAGACAACAGCTAGTATTTAGTAGCCGGGGACCAAATTAAATCTCTCAATAATGTACACCATGTTTTAATATCAACACCACGTAATTAACACGTACATAATATCAGATAACTTTATCTATTAAAAATAAAATAAATTAATGGAACTCTAATAAATTATTCATCACTTGGATTCTTGTAACACTTACTTGTGCTGCTGGACGATAGATCTAAATGTTGTGATTTTGATTCCATGAGACATACAATTAGGTCAGAAAATGCACCAACTATATACTTATGTGTGCTCTTTGGATTTAATGTAAAATAACACATAAGAAGTTCATGTAACGATTCCCAATTGCCTCTTATATCACTTAATCCACGTGCCTCCACCATTTCTTGCATCGATCGTCGAAAATCCAAATACGGGTCGGGTGAATCCGTTGGAATCGCGATGCTCCCCTCGAGGGGAGCATCCGATTCCACGGATGATGAGGTGGATGCTAAAGAGGAAGAAATTGACGATGATGAGTCGATAATAGAATTGGAATGGCCCGGGCTAGAAAAAAAGAAACGCTGAGAAGTGTAAATAGTGGCTAAATCAGGGGTATTATTGTCTAATTCGTAAATATAATCGAAAGACGTAGGAATATTATTAGAGTTGCACTCTGATGATGATAAGTCGTAAAGAGAGTTGAAGTTTTTAATGGAATTGCAAAAATGCATACTACGATGTTGTTGTTGATGACGTTGATTATCATTATCATTATCATTATCATCATCGGAGGAGGATTGCAGGGGTAATGAACGTTTGAGTTTAGTGAAACAAAGATTAATAAAGTTTGTTCCAAGTGTAGTTCTTGGCATATTGTGAGGGAAATGGAGAAGGCAAAAGAAGAAAAATTGTTGGTAAAAGAGTAGAAGTGATGTGAAGAATATAAAAGTAGAGAGAAGAGTTGGGGAATGGAGCAAATATATATACATATATTATAAGATAAGATGTCGTAAAAGTTAGCGTATGGATTACCTGTCCATAATTAAAAGAAGTTTACTTGTGTTTTGTGTTTACTAGGGACTAAACACATTGTTTGTTTTCTTTCTCAAGTCACAATTCTAGTTAGATTTTTTTGGATATTTTTTTTCATTGAATAATTATTTAAAGTAGTAGTAGTTTAATCAGTTAAAAACAAATTCCACAAGTGACATTTTATATCGATTGTATTTTATCATCCTCTAATATATCTTATCTTCACTGCTACTCCCATTAGCTCCCATCTCGACCACCTTACCCCCACCTCCACTTTCTAGTATTTGCTTATATTATATACAAAAATATTTTTAAAATAATACTAATATTTTACTTGTAAGGAACCTACTAAAATATATTTTCCAACACTAGTGATGCTAATTTAACCATTTTAATTTCTCTTTGCCTTAAATTAGGGTAAAACTAGAAGAAAAATCTTACTAGGATTTTTTCTAGTTGTAGTTATATAACTAAACATGGTATGATGTACCTAACAAAAAATTCATCACATGGTGTAACTGCAGCAGTTAATTTTGGCCGCAAGTTTTATTTTTATTTTGGTAGATCATAGCTAGCTAGGTCCAAATAAGGTCAAAGAAAATTATTAGATTCTTAATTCTTTATAAATTGGCTAGTGTGGTACTCTACTAATCTCTATTAAATATTAATCAATACTTTGCAACTTTATTGAATAAAAATTCGTTGTAGAATTCGCATCTGGTTAAAAGATAATAGTAATATGATTTTGCAAGTATATTTGAGCACAATATATATAATCAATATATAATTTTTATCTGTTTCAATCATATTAATAAATAAATTTTATCGTATTGTACATATCGATAATTTTCCCAAAAAATTATAAATTTATAATACATAGTAGTTGGGCCTTCACATTGTTTAAGTTGGAAGCAATGTGCACATGTTTGCTAAGCTGTGTTCATATGCTCACACCAGACAAAGCAGGCCACCACCAATTTTCTACTACTCATACTATAATATATACTAATTTATTAATATTGTTTTTAAAAAGGTTTCGTTAAATTTATTCATAAATAGAAATTTATCAATCCGGTTAATTTAAAGGAAAAACTACTTTATTAGATGTACATCACTATCATATATACTATTATTACATATACTTTCAAAGTATTACGGATTTCATACGTATCTTACACTTAAATACATGTAGTTTTACTACCAGATACATGCAAAGAGAGAGAGAGAGGTGAGCAAGAATGGAGAGGGAGGCAAGTGAGATTTGTATGTATCCCATATAAATGCGAATCACATTAGATATATATACATGTATGTATGGAGTGATTCACATGTATCTGAGAAGAGAAAGTAGCGAGCCACTTGGGAGAGAGGCTATGAAGGCGAGTGAGATTTGTTATGTATCACAGATACATGCGAATCCACGTGGATACATATAAATTTAATTTCATGTATCCATAATACATGTATATGGAGATACCAAAATTTGATAAGATATGTAATATAGCAAATTAAAGTGTATCTAAGTAATTAGCTCATAAACTAATGAGATTTATGTAAATTCCCTTAATTTAAATTCATACTAGGTAGATCAACCACTTTCTTCGTTCTCTTTTTTACTCATCCTCTATTTAACTTGACACTCTAAAACTATTTTTTTTTAAAGTATGATAAATAAATATAAATCAAATAAAAAAAAGTAAAAGAAATAAATTGAAATGGAGAAGATGTTTTTTTTTTCAAAAAAAAGTTATTAATAGAAGGGAGTTATTTGGTTAAGGATTTGAGTGGTCATTGTCGGTCCAATCCAACACAGTAGGAAAGTGAAACATCAATTGCGTATGATTGTCTCATAACAATCCCCATATCACTCTCTTCTATCTTACATTGTTTTTTTCTTTGATAAAATTTTTAGGTATGATTGTAAGTTCGTTAATTTAAATAAAGTGTATGAGAGAAGAAAATATCGTTAAAAATGGATGAAAAAATAAATAATGGAGAGATGTTTTTTGTCGACTTTTAAAATTTTAAGAGATGTTTTACGTTAAGTAAGATATTATTAAAATGTTGAAAGTATAATTGATGATTTTAGTCCAAAACTCTCACAATTAAGGGCCAGCACGCACTATCGGATCAACCCCTTCCTTTCTCTTGGAACCGAAGCAGGAACTGGGAAGGTTGTCAGACAACTCTCCGAACTTTTACTTTTCTATCTCGTGTGCAACATCTCCAATCCAAACACCAAATTTTACAACACTATTTTAGTGCAATCAACTCCAACTCACTGCACCAAATTTTACACCAAAAATGAATATTTTTCTCTCTAATCATTATTATATTATTATTTCATTTATATTTTCTTATTTCATAAAACAAATTCTTTCTAAAACATTCACCATATATAATTCATGGGGAATGTCAATTACTACTTTGTTGAATGTTTATTATTTTCGGTTATTTTTACGTACACTGTATTATTTGTTTAAAAATTTATATTTTTGCATTTTAAATTTTTGTGAAGGTTAATTGTAGTTATATCCAATTATAATTTATAGTAGAATTAACATAAATTTAATTTTTAAAAAAATCATATATAGAAAAATTAATTTATAAAAAAGCTAAATTTTATATCTAAGATTAATATTATAAAAATATTATATAAAAAATAATTAAATATACAGGAGATTTAATTAAAACATAAAATTTATATAATGTGTTAATTAAAAGTTTGTATAATGAAATATTATTAAAATATTCAAAAAGTGAATTGATGTGACACACCAAATTTGGTGTGAGTTGGAGCTCAAAAACATCAAATTTTACACCAAATAAAAATTTGATATAAAATTTGGTGTTGAAGTGAAGATGATCTAAGAAAATACCCTTTATTATTTTAACTAATAAAGCAAATAAGGTCACTATAGTAAAGGCAAAATTTTAACCCAAGTTTTAGGAGGGAAATATCAAATCTTTGTTTTTTCACACAGCCATCAGGGTCCCAACTTTAACAGCCAATTTCCCTTTTCTACCATCTCAAAGATTTTACCTCAATAAAAGAGGATAAATCTTTGAAAACTACTTATGAGATGCAGGTGAGTGTTAGGGTTCGTGCCCAATTTTTTTACTTTATTTGAATTCTACGCAATTTTATTTTAAGTTACTTTTTTTTAAGTACAAATGATCACTTGATGAAAAATAACTCTTTTATATCTATTCTTTTCTCGGAGAACTTTTTTGAACTTCTATGAACTGAAGATCCCCCCCCCCCACCCCCCACCCACAACATAATATGAGGTGATTTTTCATACACATGCCAATTGACCAAACTATATTAATATATTGTGCTTCTTCTAATGTAGTAATTTCTTTTAGTGTCTGATTTATTGCTGTCAAAATTTATAATTGTTAGTTTCTGCATGACGCTTTGATCAATTCAATCTAAATAGAGATAGACGATAAAATGGAAGAAGATAATTATTACTCCCTTTATTTCAAGTTATTTGTTTTGTTTTGATTTGGTATGAAGTTTTAAAAAATAAAGAACACTTTTAAATTTTATGGTCTTTAACATATTATGTGAAAAGTTGCAACTAACCTTATTAAAATGAAAATTAGACATTTTAAAAAAATGAACTAAAAAATAGTAGGAAAAATAAATCAAAACGAAGAGAGTACCCCATACACATCACCATATAAATATAAATAATAAAGTTTCAAGTTCCAATATTATTGTTAAAGACTACACGATCAGCTACAAAATCTGAAATACTGTTTAAAAAAACAATTATTTAATTAAAAATTTAGGATCCCGCATCACGTTGGTTGTTGAGTAGTGTTAACTGACTCGACTAGCTGCATTATTAGTTATTATTCCCTTTAAATAAATAGTGTAAGAAACATAACATAATAATGCTGCAAAATAATTGTCGTAAGTACTAAATAATGGAGAATACGCTGGAAAATAATTAATACATGATGAGAGGATTAATTTCCTCACAAGTTCCATTATATTGCACGGAACAAGTACATCGAATAATTAGGTAATCAATGGAACACATCAATTTTGGTGATTAATTAGCTGTTGAAATAATTTGTTATAATGGAAAATGATTTTCTTGAAAATAAGTACTATTTTCTTGTGTTTAAGTAAAAAACTAGTATCTCAAAAAATAAAAATAAAAATAAAAATAATCATAATCAAAGGTTAAATGATTTTTGTAGAACTTGTTCTCAACTTCCACTCACTCATTTCATATTTACTTGTCGATGTTTGATTTGACACATTCATTAAGAAGTAATAAATAAAATGATAATTTTATTACATCATTCTTAATTATCACAAGTCATCTATATGTTTGAGGATGAACATTACTTAATAATAAGGGTAAAATAATTATATATAAAATAGTTAATTATCTCTTAGTTTATTTTCAAACTGAAAAAGTAAAAATGAATAAATATTTGAAAAAACTATATAGTAAGTTAAGTATATGCTATGTATTTATTATATATAACTATAGTTTAATAAAATTATAATTTGCTACTATAATATTCATTTTTAATAGCTATTTTCCAATTTAAAAGTATATCTTCCAATAAATGTATTTCTAGACTTGATTCTAGACATTGTAATTTGTATCTATC